CCTCAATCAATTTCTAGATTTGAGTCCATTTACAGACCCTGAACCCCTTGAATGAAGGGGAGACCGGACCCCCTTGAGGAAGGACCCCACTACATTACCAACAATTTATGCAGTGAATCTTTCTCCCATCCTTCCCCAAGGAGACCTCTGGCCTTTTACCAGGGTAATGTGCACTGGGGAAAGGGAAATAATTGGACATTTCAGGGACTACTGCACACCGGCTCTGAGCTGACATTGATTCCAGGGGACCCAAAACATCATTGCGGTCTTTCAGTTAAAGTAGGGGCCTATGGAGGTCAGGTAATTAATGGAGTTTTAGCTCAGATCTGACTTACAGTGGGTCCAATAGGTCACTGGACTCATCCTGTGGTCATTTCCCCAGTGCCAGAATGCATAATTGGCATAGACATACTTAGTCACTGGCGGAATCCCCACAATGGCTCCCTGACTGGTAGGGTGAGGGCTATTATGGTAGGAAAGGCCAAATGGAAGCCAGAAGAGCTTTCTCTACTAGAAAAATAGTAAGTCAAAAATAATATCGTATCCCTGGAGGGATTGCAGAGATTAGTGCCACTATCAAGGACTTGAAAGACGAAGGGGTGGTGATTCCCACCACATGTAAGTTAATACTTACACTCCTTTTTATATATATGGATCTATATATCCTATTAGTTCTGTCCCTTAAGGGAACCCTGACTAATACACTGATCTAGTCCTACTTACCCTTTTCTTGTTTTCTTACTTGCTGTTTGTTCTTTCTATACTATTCTAGTTCATCGGGGGGAAAAAAATCTGGTCTCCTTACTCTTATCAATTTCATTCTATTTCAATGAGAAAAATTTTAGTGATTAAATTGATTTCATTGATCACTGTATTTTTTTACAATCCACCTAAGTTATGGAAATGTTTCCCAAAATATGGAAAACACTATAATTGGATATATTTGATTCCTATGCTTATTCAACAAACAATCTCCTTACATCAACCCATTTTCTCTCTTTTATTATGACTAAAGTTCTTTCATCTGCATAAGCTTATTATTTATCTGGGTAGGGGTCTAAGAACCTAAACTGTAATTAGCCACTGAAACTGTTCTGATGTGAGTAGTCTCCGGAATACACATTCTACAATTTGGCTTTTCTTCCCCCACCCTCGAAAGCTGCCATCTCCTTCTTCATGACAGATCTTACAGTTTTTCTCACTTGTCACAAGGGCCTTGGTGCCCTCAGATTTGAAGTGTTGCTTAATGCCAACTAGGCCAAATGCAATAATCGTGCTGCCACTCAGATATTTAGAGAGACACTGTCTAGGTGGGACTGAGTTCACCACGCTTGTGAGGACAGTGATTTGGGCTGTTGATAGTCCCCTATAGGGCTCACATTACAGCTGGATTAATTCTCTAAGCCTGACACCATCTATTTTGTGCTTTGTCCTGAAGACTAAGCTCTGATTTTTTGTTTTGCTCAAATTCCTTTCTAAAGAGAAGTCATGCCCTACAAACAATAAATTCTCATCAGATGTGTTTTATTTAATCCTTTATATCGTCACTTACCTTCCAATCTGACTCTGCCATAACAAGGAATCAAATCAAAATGTTTTACTCTAAAATATATTTCATTGCAGTACCTTGAAATTGCCCTGCAAAATCTCTTGTGGGAAAAATCCACATTCGATAGAGAATCCCCTCTCTCCTTTGTTTTCCTTCCTTCCTTGGAAGATCCAGGAGATAATCTAAGAGCCAGGCACCCTTTTAAGTCTGATACAAAACAATTTACAACCTGCTCTCTCTGAAGTCTGCTATCTGAGTGCTTCCTCTGTATGACAAAACTTGGTCTCCACAATCCTTTATCTCAACCTGAACATTCCTTTCTATCAATCCCAGGTCTTTAGACAAATTCAACCAATTGTCTGTGGGAAAATGTTTAAATTTACCTATAGCATGGAGACCCCCCACCAGCTTTGACTTGTCCCACCTTCCTGAACAAAACCAATGTATTTCTTAAATGTATATGACTGATGGCTCATGCCTTCCTAAAATATATAAACCCACGCTGTACCTCGACCACCTTGGGCATGTGTTCTCAGGACCTCCTGAGGGCTGTGTCATGGGCCATGGTCACTCATATTTGGCTCAGAATAAATGTCTTAAAATATCACAGAGTTTGACTCTTTTCATCAACAATTGTGTCATCTGCCATCCACCAGTCATACTGCTAACTAGCCACTCAGCCAAACAACAGATGGCCCCTACCTACCTTTCCAGCCTCATCCATCCTATGCATCTGGAAGACACTGTATTCAGAAGATATGCACATTGATGTACATAAGATCTCTAGACATTTTTCATATTGCATGACTGAACTGACTCAGTTTCTGAAGAAATGCCCATTTTTTAGATCTCTGGCCATCTTATATCCCAATAGATTTCAAGATATAATTAAATTTTTTCCTTTATACAAGGCTTTCTCCTTTTCATGTGAGGGTTTTTTGTTTGTTTGTTTTTGACACAGGCTTGCTCTGTCATTAGGCTGTAGTGCAGTGGTGCGACCTTGGCTCACTGCAACCTCCGCCTCCCGGGTTCAAGCAATTCTCCTGCCTCAGCCTCCCAAGTAGCTGGGATTACAGGCACATGCCACCATGCCCAGCTAATTTTTGTGTTTTTAGTAGAGATGGAGTTTCACCATATTGACCAGGATAGCCTCGTTCTCTTGACCTCATGATCCACCCGCTTCAGCCTCCCAAAGTGCTGGTGTTAGAGAGGCATGAGCCATGGTGCCCGGCCCTCATGTAAATTTTTAGACTACTTATTATGTACTTTCCTTCCTTTTCATCTATCTTGCCTCATTATATGAAACCATTTAATTCATGGTGTGTCTTGGGATTTACCTTTTCAAATTCTCATGGGCCCTTTCCCCAGTGAGTGGGGCCGTCATTTCCTTATTGTGGCCCCAGTGTCTCTCACAGCATCCAGCAGATAGACGGTGCTTAGTGAATATCTGGTATTTTTCTCCAAAGATTTAAACAGATTTTAAATATAATCCTATTTTTAAATATAGGATAACTTGACTCCCACTTTATAGTTGGTGGGTGATCAAATTTCTTTCTTTGAAATGTAGTGTTAACTCTTGAATAAAAAGGGCATTTGAAAACATTGAGTGTAAGTATACCTACCATCTGAGATCTGTCCTTCCTGGCTGTCGTCTGTGATGAGTAAGGAGATCCTTTTATCTTTTTTATGTAGTTCAGTTTCTAAAATCAGGAAAGTCAGTATTGCATTAATTGAAGAGATTAAACAAACCTCACACAAGAATAATCTCATTGATATGTTAGTAAGCAGAGATCTCCACACTTTGAGAGGGTGGGAATCTCTGATTATTTTCAATTCTCTGATTTTGGAATACCTGGAAGAGTGTTTCCTTATGAGGGCAAGAGCCAAAGATGACAAAGTTAAGATCAATCAAATACACACACGCACACCCCTCGACCTTTGTTCTTTGTTAATACACAGCATAAAATCAAGTCTTTTTTTTTTTTTCTCACAAAACTGTTTATAATACAAGTATATTTGGGACAGTTAGGACTATCTGTAAGTCAATAGAGTCAGTTTTGGAATGACTGCTTTGTAGCCCACTCCCATGAAAGGAACTTGAAGCTCTATTCTGCCTAGTGTGGGAAGCACACAGAGGGCCTCTGAATTCTGAGAATAAAAGAATCTGAGGTAAATCAAATGCGCACTGGACTTCTATATATCCCTCTGTGCCTGCACCTTCACTTCCTGCATCCTCTGGGCTTTGGTTTGGCCCACTCCTGGTGACTTGGCCAACAGCCAGAACCTCCTCTGAACTCCCAAACCCCACACTTCCTCCCCCACTTCCCCTACTTTGACCTCACTCAGCCCTCTCTGGTTTGGACCAATGGCCCTGTTTATTTTGATCAGTTAGTCCATTCTGAAAGGCAGCAACTGTTTTAATTGGTTGGGATCTGTACCCATCCTGGTTGTTAAATAGTTTCAATATCCTCCTTGTTTGGACTCTTTTATTTTATTTTTTTTAGACAGAGTCTCACTCTGTCACCCAGGCTGAGGTACAGTAGTGTGATCTTGGCTCACTGCAACCTCTGCCTCCCTGGTTCAAGTGATTCTCCTGCCTTAGCCTCCCGAGTAGCTGAAACTATAGGCGTGTGCCACCATGCCCAGCTAATTTATTTTATTTTATTTCTATTTATTACTTCCTTCCTTAACCATCCTAGACCCCCAAAGTCTATTACTTCATCTGCTTTCTTGCAATGACCTTCAATTTCTTTGCCTCATCTTCTTCCTTCCCAAATGCTAAGTGAACTGGACTCATTTTCCACTCTTATGTTCAATGTGGATAACCAAAGTCACCTTAGCTATGAGGGTCTGGATTGGATAAAGAAGGAAGTAATAAATAGAAATAAAATCCAGCTACTTGGGAGGCTGAGGCAGGAGAATTGCTTGAACCTGGGAGATAGAGGTTGCAGTGAGCCAAGATCGTGCCACTGCACTCTAGCCTGGGCGACAGAGTGAGACTCCATCTCAAAAAAAAAATAGTAATAATTTTTAAAAATAGAAAAAAGCTTATAAAAGGGCATAAATGATATAAAGAAAAAGGATATAAAGAAAAAATATTTTTGTATAGCTGTACAAGGTGTTTGTGTTTTAAGCTAAGTGCTAACAGAAAAGAGTTTTTAAAAACATAAAACTTATAAAGTAAAAAAAAATACAGTGAGCTAAGGTTAATTTGTTATTGAAGAAAGAAAAAAAATTTTAAATAAATTCAGTGTAGCCTAAGAGCATGGTGTTTATCAGTCTACAGTAGTATACAGTAATGTTCTAGGGGTCCACCACCACGCACAGCTAATTTTTTGTGTTTTTAGTAGAGACAGGGTTTCGCCATGTTGGCCAAGATGGTCTCAAACTCCTGACCTCATGATCTGCCCGCCTCAGCCTCCCAAAGTGCTGGATTACAGGCATGAGCCACCATACCCAGCCTAAAAATTACTTTTTTCTTTGTAATTTTTTTTTGGTTAAAAACGAAAACACAAACACATACATTATTAGCCTAGGCCTACACAGGGTCAGGATCATCAGAACATCACAAGGTGGAAGGAATTGCTTAACCCCATTATGTTATGGAACCACTGTGGGATTACGCCATCTGCCATTGACCAAAATGTTGTTATGCACACATGCCTGTATTTCAAACCTTCGTGTCCTTCCTTACAAGCCCAGCCTTTCTCTGAGTCTTTGGCCCTCTGGACCTGGTCCCACTGCCTGTTTTGTTCCTCACTCCTCCATCCCATACACTTACTTGCATCTGCATCCATCACCTTCTCCCTTTCCTTCCAGCCTCAGCAGCAGAGACACTTTCAGTGTGGAGGTGACCCTGTGCTCTGGCACTTGAGTTCTACTCAAGCAGAGGACCCTTCTGCTCACTCCCCTCTATCTTCACCCTCTCCTCTCTAATAGTAGTTAGACTTTAACTTCCAACCATCCAGATATCGATCTGCCACCTCATATTTTTGGATATATGTATCATGCACATGGAACAAAATCCAAGAGGCACAAGAAACCCTAAACTGCAGAAGTCTTCCCTCCCCCGCTACTCAGGTCCTGCTCCAGTAGGTCACTATGGTTATCAATTTATTCTCATTACTGCCAGTTGCTGACAACTCTGCGTCCTCATGTCCAGCCCAGAGCTCTCTCCTGGGCTCCAGAGACATGTTATCTGTTATCTACCAGACACTTTCACTTAGATGTCTCTTGAAAATCTGCTCCTTCTCCTTTATTCCTTACATTAATTGTACCTTCCCAATCATTTTCATGACTCAGTACACATAGTAAGTGACAAGGACAAGAGAGGCAACCAGCTGGAGGACTCCAGCTGCCCCAGATTCTGCCCCTAGAACTGAGGATATCAAGAGCTCCACATTCCCAATTCATTTGTGGCCCACTGTTTGGGAAGTTCTGCCTCAGATAACACCACGGCCATGTGTGGAGATGTTGAAAACATCAGGGGCATTCTTGACTCTCTAGAGCGCTCTGTTATCCTCAATCTCAGATTGGTCAAGTTCTGTCCACTGTATCTCTTGCAAATCTAGCTTTTTCTCTACATCCCCACAGCCACTTCTTGCTTAAGGTCCTCATCATTTCTCTGCCTGCAACAAAGCTGGTCTTCCTGCTTCCTCTCTCCCCCTCCAATTCATTCTTCCCATGGCAGACAGTGATCATTTTAAATTAGAAGCTGCTCCTGTCCCTATTCTGCCTAAAATCTTTCATTGGTTTTAGCAAGGCCCCTATTTACCTTCTGGCCTCATGACATTCCTCAAACTCTATTTACCAGATAAAGCAAATTGGCAGTTCTTCGAAAGTTCTTTCTTTTTTCTTTAGCTTTGAATATGTTCCTTTCTTTGAACAACTCTCCCATTTACTCCTACCATGCCCCTGACTGTTGGCCATCCTTCCCCTCATAACTCAGTTTCGATGTCACCTCCTCCAGAAAGTCCTCCCATCAAGTCAGAGTCCTGATGGTGCCCTTCCCACTGCTGTCATGGTGTATGGCACATTCCTTGGGCCTACAACACTAAGCACACCAGTTCCAGAGTGACACTCTGGCCTCTAAAGCTAGGGACCTTCCTTTCTACTTTGCTCTCATTTCTGCCCTCTCCATTCTACAAAATTGGTGTCATCAAAGTCACGAATGACTTTTGTCCTACATCCACTGGGTACTTTTCAGGTCTCATTTTATCTGATACACCAATAGCATCTGACATTGTAGACCAGTCCTTGTTCTTCAAACACCCTCTGTCCTCAGGTCTTTTACATCATCCGATTTCAGGGGCTTATCCTGCCTCTCTGACCATCATGGTCGTCTGTCAGTTGCTCCTGTTCCACCTAACCATGACGGGCTAAGTTCCTCCAGGCTTTCTCCTCTCACCTTCTCTCTGGACAATCTCCATCATACAGATAGCTTCATTTCTATTTATGAGGCAACACCTCCTCGTTTGGCAACCATAGTCCAGATCTTTCTGAGCTCCAGGAAGTATGCAGTTCTCCATATGACATTTCCATTTTAGATCTCACACAGGTATTTCAGAATCAAAATGTAAGAAATGAAACTCATACTTTTTCTACTCTGGCACCATGCTGCTTCCTATTCCATCCACACATGTGCATGCACAAGTGCGTGCGCACGTACGCGCGCACACACACACACACACTTCCCACATTCTCATATTCTCTCTCATTCTTTTACCATTTTCCCCTTATCAATATTAAATCTGCCCAGTTGCTCAGCTAGAAGAACTTTGGGATTCACCAGAGCCAATGCATCAGCAAGTCTTGATAATTCCACCTCCTAAATATCTCTCAAATTTCTACTGCCTTTGGTCTTGGCTGTAAGCATCTCTTCCTTGTGTCACTGAGCTATCCCCCAATACCAGTCTTTCTGCAAACAGTCTTGCCTTATCCCAGGATATTCTGCAAACTAATACCACACCTGACCAGGTTCTCTCCATCTGGAAACCTTCTGTAGCTCTCACATCCACTCCTCATGGCTGTATCTCTCAGCTCCATCTCTTCTGGCTTCAGCCACACACGCTTTTTCCACAGTTTTTTCAAACAAGTTAATATGTACTTTCCTGCTTCAGGATCTTCCCTTCTATCCCCAGGCATGAGCTCTGACAGCACAGCAGCCAGTAGTTACTCCTCTGACGTGCCACAATTGCAGTCATCTACATCATGTGTGGCCAGCCCCTTGATGGACTGAAGGTTCCAAGAGGGCAAGATCAAGTCTATCTAATTCACTTCTGTATTTCTAGCTCCTGCTACTGGCTTATAGTTGGTACTGCATACACATTAGCAGAGGAAGAAATACTGGGCTCCAAAAGACACTTGACTAAAGCCCTTTGCATAAATAAATTGATTTATTTCTACACGTATATATCCATACTTGAGATCATCTTTAAGGCAAAGAAAATATGTCAGCCCTTCCTTATTTCTGTATGATTGGAGAAAATACCAATAAGAAAAACAAGCTTATTGAAATTTATTGGCTTTTAATAAAGTTATCTAAAAATAAATCTGGTGCTGTGGGTTAAATTGTGTTTCCAAAAAGATATGTTGGAGTCTTAATACCTGGTACCTATAAATGTAACCTTACAGAAAATAGAGTCTTAGCAGATATACTCAATTTAAGATGGGGTTATACTGGTTTAGGGCAGGTCCTGAATGAAATGACTGGTATCCTTAGAGAGAGAGAGAGAGAGAGAGAAAGAGAGTGAAAGAAAGAGGGAGATTTGGAAACACAGAAACACAGACAGGAAAGACAGACATGTGAAGAGGGAGGCAGAAATTGGAGTGATGCAGCAACAAACCAAGAATGCAAGCACTGCAACCCAAGGCTAGAAAAAGCAAGAAAGAATTCTTTTCTAGAGCCTTCCTAGAAAGTGTGGCCCCGCTGACACCTCACATCAGGTACTCTAGTCTCCTGAGCTGTGAACAAATAAAATTTCTGTTGTTTTTAAGCCATCCAGTTTGTGGTAATTTGCTACAGTAGTCCCAGGAAATTAATATGATACCTGCAACACTTATAAGATCCTAGTGTCTTTAACTTGTGTTTTCTTTAACATTCTCATGAGATGTTTTATTTCAAAGGACACATGGGACTTAGCAGTTTATTTTGTCATTAATTTAGTTTAGAAATGATAAAATATAAATGGGAGTTATTCATATTAACAGTGATTCAGTTATAACAAATATTTTAATACTCTTTTAATAGAAGTCCAATAAAACATCACATCTAAGAGGTTACCTGATTGGTATGGCTGAAAATGTATCTTGTCTCCAAGTGCAACAAGTTTCTCCTGTTGAAAAATTTTATAATCACAGAATTAAATGACCACATTCCTAACTTAATTATTCTTTAATAGAAAAACACTTTGATTCTTGAAATAACAAATAAATGTTTTAACATACCAGAAATTGTATAACCAAATGAGTAGTGTTCTTTCACTGATTTTTTTCAAACATTTATAATCCCATTATTTTTAGGAATTAAAAAAAAATTGAATCCATAGAAAAACCAATGTATGCCTTGGCCTAGGGGAATCAGTTTAAGGTCATTATCAAAGTCAGTCCTCTTGCATCTATTCTGACATTACCTGAATTAGATCACTTGTCATTCTGGTCATTATTTGTTCACTTATTTCAATATCTTTGAGATCTGTAAGAACCACCCAAGTTCCATTCTCAAATTTCACAGGCATAGAAAAGACGATCCCTTCAGGAATACCAAACTGGCCTACAGTGAGCAAACACAAAGCAAAGCAACACAGCAGAACTTAGAAACATACGCCTTTTCTGTTAAGCATTGTAGAAAAAAACAGACAAAATACAGGATTTTTAATGATAAAGATGGAATTAAATTTCTGGGAATTCTTCTCCAAGGAGGACTGAAACACTCACTCTAGAAGGACTGACTGAGCAACTATCCAAGTTCTAACAATTCTGCCATTTGTATTTCTCTCACATCCAGAGGCTAATGCAGTCTTTCTCTCTCTTTTTTTAAATAATCATATAATTTTATTAAAGAGCTTTCCAAATTCAACACTAATGTGGGAGCCATAGAACAAAAGAATGCAGTCTTTCTCTTTTGAATCCTGTGTATATTCTTTTTGTCTGTCTGCGTAGCTTTGTCCCTGACCCCCTATGTAGCCCATAAGCCTAAGTCGTTTGTCCATCTGGCCTTCTAGTCTTCTTGCCTGCTATGCAGTCGTATAGCCAAAGTATAAAGAACTGGGAAGGGAAAGGAGGGGAAGCAGGAAATTTGGTTATTTTGTCATGTGTTTGTTTCACGTGGGATGATTTTCTTTACATATTTTTACATCTTAGGCAGAAGTCATCCTTCGCTTAATAATACATTTAATTTCTTTAAGATATACAGAAATACTTATATTTGGATGTGCTCTAAATAAAAAGATTGACAATATTTATTATTAACTGAGTACCATTCAGACAAAATTGTCCCCATTTCTGGTACCTCAATCACATAAGAAAATTATTCCTGCTCTTCCGGACAACAAAAATGTCACTGGGGGAAAAAAAATGAGGACATTTAAGAAACCAAGATCTAAAAGACTTTTCCTTAGAGGGATACCCAGGTCCTCAAGTTATGCTGTATTTTGTTTACTCTGTGAAGAGCTAGCCTTATGGACAGATGAGATATGAGGGTTTACCTATTCAGCATGGTTTCAGAGAGACAGAGAATGATCATTTGCCCCTCTCCCCCAAGTACTGTGTTATTTATTTTTGAATACAATTCCTACAGAGATTAAACTTTCTTTCTACAAATAAAGATAAGGTTTTAAATGCCTATTTCCCTAAGAAGATAACTTGCTTATTTGAATTCACACTATGGCAATGTTCATGTACCTTAACTTCAATTGAACAAGATTCATTGAGTGTCTATCATATAAAATGCTGCTCCTGTGAAGGTGCAGAGAGGTGGCCCAGAAAAAGCCTTTGCCCTCAGGGTGCCACAACAAAGGGGACATATGCAACTAATCACACTATCAAAAGCAGGCAGACTATAATATTCCCTGTGATAGGGGAGCAAAATGCTATGTGGGGGTATAGAAGAGAGAAATAAGATTAATTCTGACACGAGGGATTTCGAATTTCTTAACCTGCACTAGAGTCACTGAAACAATAGGGAATATGGTTGTTCTACTTATAAAGAATACAAGAGATGGAACAGATTGGGAAGAAATACTGTAGATTCAGTTTGGTATATGTTGGATGGAAGTGACACCATGACATCCAGGTGACAATGTTTCACAAGCCAAAGCTCAGCAGAGAGGCTGAGGTCTTCAGCTCTGGGAGTGAATTAGCTTGCTGAGGGAGAAAGTAAAACACAAAGGGAAGAGATGCTTCAGATAGACCTTACAGATGACAGAACATCAGCTATTCTCTTTCGTGTTTTGTAAAAATGGCAGAAGTCTTCCGAATAGTTTTTAGTAGATTAAAACATTAGGGCTGTAAAAGTTTATATGCAGTATTTGTGGATGGAGAGCAATCTTTCCACATACCCAGTGCTGCCTGGTACCCTAAGGTCTGGGTCCTGTAGTACCCCTCTCTATCCTGCCTTTACATCTGTCTTCCTGTGGCTCCCTGTGCCCAGTGTCCTTTCCACACTTGTCTTCTTTTTTTTTTTTTTTTTTT